GTAATTACGTTCTGGCGCTTTCTTGCTAATTACCGGCAGCCCTGCCTCCATTCTCCGCGATTTGGTATTTAATTAGCGATTAGAGATATCGTCGTATCCGAGTCACTTGCGGAACTTGACGTCCGCAGCGAGAGGATGCATTTCCGCGGATCTCGGGTGAGATCTGCTCGGATGATTTACGTCGTCAGACATTCCGCATCGAGCCTGATCTACGATCGCGCGCGCGTATTTTTTTCCCATAAGTTTCTGCACCGCGCACACACATACATACACACACATACACACACACACACACACACGGCGTGCGTTACCACGCACGCGCGAGCGCAATGGCTTTCTACACTTTATTCCGCCAGCGCGATCTTTACGACCTATCGGATCATTAAGCGGTGAAATAAATTAGCGAAACGTTACGGGAACTCGTAAAGTCGCATGTTCTAATTTCTTCACAGTTCGAACAATCACCTGGTCAGTACTTACGGACGCGTAGAATTGTTTCCTCCGAAATGTGGCCTCCCCGCGGGAGGACAAAGCACGAAAACAAAACGAGAATATGTTTCGCCGCATCCGGCTAGGCGAACAAAGGCAGAGTGTACAGAGGGAAAGCGACGAAAAAACGGACCGCAATTGCGGTTGGGGCGGGAAACTCGCCGCGAAAATGTATCGAAACTCTTCCGATTCCCCAAGTCGTTCTCTGCCTTTCTCGCGGGAAACAAGCACGACTCGTCGGATTACGTTTCCGTCAACTCGCGCGGAATCCAGCTAATCCGCAAATGTCAATGACTGATCGCTATCGGTCCCGTGTGTGTATGTGTGCGTGCATGCGTGCACGTATGTGTATGTGTGTGTGTCACAGTCGTTAATGGAAACCGTACATGACACGTGCTCGCTTCTAATTATATCCGCGCGACACACGGTTAATCACGAGAACTCGGCCATAATTCTAGGGCAAACGTGCTTCGGCATCCGTATGCATGGTCCAGGAGGCGCGGGCGGATATGTATATGTATAAGCGCGATTAAACCCGAAGTATATTGACATCCGTGCGCGAAGTTATGAATATCGTATGAACAGCGGTCGGGGGGATTGCGCGCGCACGGCAGATTTGCGAATAAGCCGTTAGGAAACGCAGTATCACACGCATATACACACGTGCACACACGTGGACGCGCGAAATGCTGCGAAAACGCGACGACTGTCGCTTAACGCGCGCTTACCCCCTCTTTTCTCGCCCGCGAGAGACGGAATAGCGAATCAGATGGGGGAGAGAAGTGTGAAACGAACGAACGAAGGCACGTACAAGAGCCGGAACGCAGATGGTGGAGCGTGGACGTGATGTTTAAATCTTAATCCGGGTGGCCGGACCTTGCTGGTCGGGACTTCGAGACATTCCGATCTTTCGTTGACTTCATCTCGCGCCCTTCGGCCTAAAATATATATCCCGCGCGTGTAAGATGTAGAAAGAGGTGAAACCATTTCCGAGCGTCTCGCGCGTTTACAAAAACGGCTAGATGCGAAGGAAGTGCTGGACGGCACACGAGAGTATAATTATCGCGGCGGTGGTGGGGTGCGATAATAGCGCGAACGGCGATAATAATTGCACGAATTGCTGCTGGTGATTCGTATTTTTAATGACTGTTAGCCTAGAATAAGCGACTGACGCGGCTGTTTCATTTCAACCGCGAAATTCGATATTCATCGACGACCGGCGTGCGGGCGCTCTAATAATAACGGGTTGTTAAGTAGTTTGCAAAATTATCGATGTAACATACGCACATATACACATATACATACAAGGACATATGTCACAGAAAGCCGTGACCTCCGACTTTTGCGAGCGATTATACTCGCTCTCTCATCAATAATATACTTCTTTTCCATCGGTGTCTGAGATACGTAACGTTGACCTGGGAGATTGTTACTCAATATGCGCGCGATAAGCGGCGCCGGTACACTCCTCGTATTGGCGTTGCGACGTCGCGCGCGCTCCAACAGAAGGAAACAGAAAAAAAAAAGAAAGAAAGAGAAAAGGAAAGATCTCGTGTCCGGCGCGAGTGCAATAACGTGATTTTCGCGTTGCGGAGAGTCGCGCTGGAATAACGCGAGGGCGAAATAAACCGGCGTGATTTCTGTGCGAGCAACGCGCAATAACGCGAGAATGACGGGCGCCGCGACACTAAGTTTGCTTAAAGGGGGGCGTGTTTTAATTTAGCCGCTGTAAAACCGTAGTTCACTTCCACTTCGCAACAGTTTCGGCTTCCTCGAGAGCGGGAACTTCAAAGCTCCCGCGGCGAATTTCACGTACGAGCTGCCGCGCGAATTACATCGAGAAAATTTCACGGACACGGGCGAGAAAATTGTGTCACCCCCGTCGGGATGGGATTGCAGTCAGAAGCGAGGGAGGGAGGGGGGCGTTTAATAATCGACGGGGGATACTTCTCGAAGTCCAGCGTGACTCTCTGACAACGTGGCCGTGGCTGGAACATCGATGCGCGCAACTTTACCGATGCTTTCATGTAAATTCAACGTTGACCCATACCTCCGTGGGTTTATAGCAGTGGTAATGGCGTTCGACGCGAACAAAGTTTCCACTCGAAAGTTCACGGCAAAGTGGCGGCCCAAGTTATCCTACCTGTCGATTCAAAAACGTCCTTCCGCGCGCGCGCTGAGCGCTCTTAGACTTTTGGAGGATTTACTCTGAGAGCAACGACCGATGCTCTTCTAAATGAAACCTCGACAGAGAAGGGATTGTAGGAGAAAATGTAAGGAAGCAATGTCCAACCTATACGACTCTTTTTCACTCTTTTTCTTCTTCGTCAGTGGTTTGCAAAACGATTTAAACCCGATGAAACTGAAAGCTCGTATGTCGAACCGTTCAAATTAGGAAACATTTACGACGAAATTACGATAACAATACAATTGATGAGAAAAAATATAATTAAGAGTAATAAAACTAATAATTAATGGTACAATTATCGGTCAAACCTGTCAACAGCGACCCTAAATTTTGACAGTTTGGCGAGTTTCCAACTTCGTGATGTCGAAGTCGTTTTGCAGCCTACTGTATACGCTCATGTCGTCAAAAACACAAAGTTAATAAATCAACAAAATGATAAATAAATGTTAGTAAGATCATTTCTTTGCCTCCCTCCCTGAAATCTTACAAGGATGCGTTCTTGAAAAAAATATGTATTGAGTAACTTTTTGTATCGCTTACGTGAATGATTCAAAAGAGCCTTGCACTCGTGTCGTAGCCGTCTATTTGAATACGTTTGTGTATTGCCGTTATATATTTATCTCTCGAGAAACGAAGCGTCGTTTCACGGTTATATTCCACGGACGAGACTTCGCCTCTTGACTTCACTCGATTATACATTCAGCGGCTTCGGCCCGTTTAATGTGCAGGAATAAAAATGTATACCTCTCCGTTGGACTGTCCGTTTGTGCAATAGTTGCCTTTTAATTAAATACGCTGCTGTGCCGGGCACGTGTACTGAGACCGTCGGTATAATGAGAGAGCGCAAGTTTTCATACTTTTTCACAAAAGCACGACAGAGGGGACGATGCACTCGCCGCGCGATGCCTGCTAAGCCATAACACAAAGCTGTATTTTATTTTTCCCATTCCTCTCGCGACATTCGTAAATTATTCGCGTAGAGTCTCGCTTCCGCGCAGCTTTCTGCCGCTCTCGAGCACCGCGACTCGTTAATTTATATCTCATAGGAACGACAGAAGTTATTATAAGCTGTGACAAGTAGCGTAATCCGCGCGTACAAACAATTCACGTCCCGATGCACGAGCGAGGTGGACGTAAAAGTTCGACACATGTGACTCTTGTCGGAGATGACTGCGAAGTGCTCACATCCACTTACCCTTTATCTGCGAAAAACATGTACGCCCTGGGAGAGTGGTCGCTCTCATTTACGAAAGTTGTACACTAGGATTCATTAATGCCTTTACACTTTCGGTATCTGGAGAATTGGACTTTTTCGATGTGACGCATCGTTTCTCAGTAAACACGAATCGTGATTGTTAGTTAGTTGTTGGTTCTTTCAATAACTAACAATCACGATTCACGTTTACTGAGAAAAGATGCGCCAGATCGAAAAAATCCAATTCTTCAGGTACCGGAAGTGTAAAGGCATTTATGAATCCTAGTGTATGTATTCGCCCCTACATATCAATGAATGTGTACGACAGACAAATATGTACACCTAGTAAATATCTCCTATTTTCTTATTGAACTGTGATGTGTACATCGTCGGATATACTATACTACCTGCTATAGTAACAAAATAAAATCAACAGCCAAAACACATGATCACACCCTCAGGGGAATTTTCTCTTGGCCTCAAGAGAATTTTTCTCCGAGGGAAATATTTTAGACAGAATATTATTTCTCTTCATCAGAGGAGAAATATTCTTTCGCTCAAAGTTTCCGCTTAGAATACGAGAAAATGGTACCTTACAACTAGAATTTTTTCTTGTTTGACGTTAAGAATATTTTACTTTTGGTCTTTAAGAAGAATCCTCCTGAGACTATGAGCGTTCTGCTGAGGATAAAATTATATTTTTTCGGGTGGACAAATACCAAGAGACGCGTTTTTTACGCCACGTTCCGAAATGTGTTAACAGTATTGAAACTTTATAATTTACGATATATACGTTGTAGATTTTCAATAATGACAGTACATCGGAACACGTACTTGTTCCTTCAACTTTGCCTTCAAGAAAGTGATTCGTGAGTAAATGTCTTGGACTACATCGAAATGCGCGAACTATTCGTGCGGCCTGATTTCAGTTGGCGCGCCTCAGAAATAGACGAACAAGTATCGCGTAGTACACCACGTGGCGTACGGTTTGAGCGCGTCGCAGAGCTAAAAGGTTAGGCGGAACTGAATGTTAATCGCTCGTACATTTATCATAGTGACGATAAATACAACGACGTCGCCGACGTCATGGATCAAGATAAATTAAACACGGAAGCATGCGTCTTTCAGGGCTGAAGAAACTCTTGAAGGTGGACGCCACGTTGTGGGACACGTTCTTGGCCGCTTTGGGAGAAGTGGTCGGCACGGCGTTGCTGGTATTCGTGGGATGCATGGGAGGTATTGGCACTATGGGAACAATACCGTCGACCTTACAAATTTCCCTCACCTTTGGCTTGGCCATCATGGTCGCTATAGAGGTATTTACAGATGTAATCGTTCTCGACGAGCCAATTTACCAAGCGATATTAATCCTTCGATATTTGCTTGATATTAATTCACGATAAATTATCGATGCGTTAAATCGCCCATATTATTGCAATATAATTTCGATTTTATGTGCTCGGCATATATTTTATAAATATACGTTGCGCTAAAGTCGTTTTATGTATATTCAAATTTTATATTTGCACACCCACGTCGTTCTCTCACTCTCTGTCTCTCTCATCGAAAAGGAATAATTATCTTATACGTACGAGTTTCGAATAACACGTAAACGCGGGTGTTTCGATAATAAACGTCTTTTGTTGTTCCCGAAACTTCATCGTCGATTTAGATTATCTTATTTTGAGCTATTCTTTTCTTGATTTTTTTTCTCTTTTCCAGTGCGTCGGTCACATCAGCGGGGCTCATCTTAATCCGGTTGTTACAGTAGCGGCTGTGATCCTCGGCGACAAGTCCCTGCCGATCGCAGGAGTCTACATGATTGCACAATTTTTGGGTTGTCTGATAGGTTACGGCCTGCTAAAGGTCAATGAATACTTATTCGCTTATAAATTGCAAAATATGTCTGCATTATATTTTGGTGGTCACACCCGGGCGAGAATTATGTCGGCGCGGCGGACATCGATACATCGCTTACGCAACGCGTTATCAGAAATCGCACGTCCGAATCTTTAAGATTTACCGCGATTCGCGGCGCGGCCACCCGCTCAATCTCAGCAATGAGAGATTAATTTATTTCTGATTTGTGACGTCCAAACACTCGCGATTTTCTAATGTTATCGCCATAACAGAATTTCAAGCCGCTCTCAATCATCTCTTGCGGGCGATGCGAATAGAAACACTTCTTCACGATGAAAAACATCGATTCGACTGATGTAGAAGACATCGATGATGCCTCTCATGGTTCTGATCCCGCATTTTCAGGCTGTCGCATTGTGTCTGCAAAGAATCTGAAACTACCTTCTCTTACTGATTAATTCAATACCGCGTAAAGCTGCGTTATTTATCTCGCGACTCTCCAAATTTCTTGCAAGGAAATTTCATTCGAAAGATAGAGTGGCGGCCGAGTTGCTCGAATTCGAGTTGATTTAGTTCTTATGAAATATGATAGATGTACACAAATGGTAAAAATAATGATAAAAATGTAGCTGTGTTCAAAAAGGGTAGAAGTGCATCATTTTTGAAAAATCAATATATTAACTAGTGAGCATAAAAAATCGTGAAATTTTTATAGGCAATGTAATTAGGATTCCTTTATTTAAGAAACTAAAAATTTAGTCTCTGCTGATTTTAGCAATATAGGATTTTTATAGACAGTTATTATATATAGCTATACAGATATAGGCAATTTTTTGTGTATTTTTCAAAAACTAAATGGCCTAGTACCCGTCTAAAATATGACGACTCATTTCCACTGTTAACTCGAGTATGTGTGTGTATATGTGTGTGAAAATACTGCCACTTTCCATTCGTTTTAAATGAGATTTCATTCTGAGAAATTTAGAGAGTAGGGTTTAATTTTCCGAAAACACACACATTTCCAAACATTTGCCACTGTCAAACTGTCAGAGGCATGGCAGCAAAATCGGCCCTGTCCGAGGGACGGCATGCACAAATATCTACGTAGACACGACGCGTTCGGCCAGAAAGTATCCAGACCTAAACTGGAGGGCATTATTGACGGCTCGTGTATCTCGGATTAGTTGATCGTCATTGTCCGGCGCAAATACACAGCGAGTTAACTTCTATATATATATATATATATATAATATTAATTACAGATGCTAACGCCAACGGGGTTTCTACGCGCCAACCAGTTAGCAGACAACGCATCCTTCTGCACACTGAATCTCAATGCGAGTGCGAATATGACACCCGTGGCTGGAGTCGCGGCTGAGATTTTAGCGACAGCAATACTTATATTTTTCACCTGCGCGGTTTGGGACCCGCAGAACTCACACAAGGCTGACTCGCTCTCGCTCAAGTTCGGCCTCTGTATCACGATGCTATGCCTTGCCTTTATACCTTTTACCGGCTGCGGCCTCAACCCCGCCAGGGTATTCGCACCTGCCGCCTGGAACGGCTACTGGACCAACCACTGGGTGTACTGGGTCGGTCCGCTTTTAGGCTCCATCATAGCGTCCTCGATCTACCGTTGCGTGTTTTCGTCCAAGAGGAAGCGGAACGACTCTATGCAAGACACGAACACTTTGAACGGCATCGAGACGTAGACGAAATTGTACGTATACGCGTTTTTCAGACGTTAGTCAGACGTTATGTCACGCCGCGGCACACATCACGCATTACGTGGTTATTCTCACACAATGACAGCTCTACAAAGTCTCTGGCGATTGTTTGCCTCGAAGCAACGAATCATCTAATAAGCAAAAAAATATTCCCGATGTCACGCCGTGTATTTCCACTTTTTTCTTAGCTAAATAGCTTTTCAGAAGCGTGTAAAATAATATCTTTTTGATATGAGTTTCTCAGTCCTCACTCATTTATTACTTGTTTCTCGTTTGATTGTCAGTTATAGTCGGCACGCGATACCACAAATGATTCAATATAACGCAATGATCTTTTCTCGTCGAATGTTCATCTGCGTTCTGCGGCTATCACGAATTTATCGAAATTTTTTAATCTCGTTCTATTACGCGATAGTCCTATCAGTCTTCGTTCGTTCCGCTCCCACCCCCCGAAAATCTCCTCGGATATTTCTGTGCGACGTAACGTCACATTTACCGGGAGATCCTCGAATCGAACTTACATCGTGCGTTTCCTCTTTCAGCGAGCGAAATTGCATTCCGGTTGTCGGTGGCTCACAAATTGAACGAGAAATCCTGATCGCGCTGGTATTTTCCTTGGTTGAAAAAGAGAGGACGTTGTGAAAGTTCCGGCGGAAACTCTCTCGTGCAGAGCAACGGAAGCAGATCGGACAGGCATCGAACTTTACGGATTTTTACTTCCAAGGCGCTCGGAAACGTCTCATTCGAGCATCCTGCGGCCCGAGAAGGATCGCGACTGCCACGCAGCGAGGACTTCTCGACTATAGACTGATCTGACGGATTTTTGTACAAAAATGCGACGTAACACTCTTACAGAATGGAATGTTGTAAGGCGTACTGCCTCTGTTCGCTTGCACGCGGTAGACGCAAAATTCCGCATTCGCATTCGTGTGTGTTATGATAATTATCTTTTGTTTATCTTAGTGTGTATGTCCGTATCACGGCTGGGCAGAATATCGTGGAACTACATTTCAAGAGAAAAAGAGAGAGAGAGAGAGAGAGAGAGAGAGAGAGAGAGAGAGCAAAATGCAAAATACAAATTAAAAAGCGTTCTGTGCATTGGGATATTTATCCCCAAGTGGAAAACATGCGCGAGACAGCGTTTCAAATGGTTTACGAAATAATTATAATTATACCTAATATAATAATTATGTAATAAATAAATACTCCTGAACATTTCGTCCGACAAATGCAGGTTTGTGAAAATTGTATTTTGCGTTTGAAATCTTTACGTCAGGAGTTTATTCAAAGTACTGTCCAGCCGCACAGTTTAAGGTAGAAATTTACGGAGTAGCGTTGGCTTCCAAAAATTTGTCTCTTTTAAGCATTCTGTATCTTTCCATGCAAAGTGTTCTGTTATTTTGCTCACAGTGTGCCCTCCATCCGACCTCCCCTTACGATCCAGCTTCTCCTCCCTGCTCTTACCATTTCTACAATTTCTCTTTCCTGCAATGTCTCTCTCCTCCTTTGTCAGATCATTCTCTCCGTGCGAACAGTTTATTTCCTTTCAGTTTATACGTTTGTTCGCTACGCCATTGCTCTCTTGTCTCTACAAGTGCTACCCTTCTTATGCAATGTATTTCTCTCACGCTCATTTCCAATTGTAATTCTTGTTTCAATAGTTGTCGTGCTGATTCCTTCGCGCAGTTCCTCTCCCTCTCCCCCCCCCC